CCCTACATTTGTACCCTAAAGTTCAAAGTGGGGATACAGCCTTGACAATGATCAATACATTTCCAATCATCATTACTTATAGAAGTGTAGGGCTGAAAAGGATCTTGAGAAGTCATTTAGTCCAGCCCCCAGTGCTGAGACAGCATGAAGTAAACCTAGACCATCCTGGTGTTTGTCTAAGCTGTTCTTAAAAACTCCAATGAGGGGGACTCCACCACCTCCCTTGGAAGCCTATTTCAAAACTTAACTATCTTTGTAGTTAATAAACTTTTCCTAATACCTCACCTAAATCTCCCTTGCTACAGATGAAGCCCCTTACTTCTTGCCCTATCTTCAGTGGACATGGAGAACAATTGATCCCCATCCTCTTTATAACAGCCCTTAAGGTATTTGAAGACTATCATCTGCCCCTCCCATCTTCTTTTCTTGGAGATTAAACATGCCCACTTTTTAACCTGATTTATAAGGACAGGTTATTCTAAACCTTCTATCATTTCTTGATGGTTTCCAAAAAGATTATGTCCAAGGCAGAAAAAACAATACTTGGGCATAATCACTTAGAGGTGTTATTCCTGGATTCTTGCTTGGGCTTCATATACATATTAAGATGTTAGATGAATTGAATGTTTTAGCCGTTGTGGTTTCATCATAAATTGGTGATGACTTATTTTCCCTGCTTGGTTTTACTGTAGGACTTCAAAGCAGCATGTAGTAATGAACACCTGCAACTTGAAATCAAATTGCTGTTTTCCCAAGGTTTGGGTTACGAAAAGCCTGAGGGATTGATGACACACAGATGAAAATAGGGCTACCACCCCCCGCTAACCCATTCTTTGAATACATTTCAGATTACTGAGCATTTTGAGCCGGTCTGCTCTAAGGGGATGCACAGCTGTCCTTTGTTCAGGTAGGGATTGGGGCTTGATTCAGTGAGGTGCTTAAACAGGTGCCCTAGTGTAAAGCAGGTGAGTAGCCACCTTGCCTTCAACGGGATTATTCATCTGTTTAAAGTTAGGCAGGTGCCTAAGTACCTCCTCTGAATCGGGACCTTCCTGAGATGCTCTAAATTGTAGCTGACGGGAAGCGGCTTCTCAGCCTTTGCGGGACGTTACACGTGCCGGAGCACAGCAGGTTACTACAGTGCACACAGCTGTGAGGCAGGGGTACATTTGGGCCACGCGGTGGACACATTTGCAGCGTCAGCAAGCTGCAGCAGAGACTAGTTGCACGCCGCCGCCTGCCCCTAAGGAAGGGCTTAATTGCCTGTGCTCACCCCCTCGCGGACAGCCCCAAGCGCATGGCTAGTGCGATCTCTGGAGTCAGACTGAGGGGGCTCCGCAGCGGGAGCAGTTGATTGGTAACTTTACAGAGCTCGGACCAGGAGCTGGACGCGTTTGGGATCAAGACGCTCAGTCTCTTTAGAGTTAGCGCTGGGGTTTTTTTTTTAAAGGTGTCTATGGCCATTAATGGCCGGAGCCCAGCGGTTTCCTCTGCCCAGCAGCATTTTGCATCTCAGCGGGGAAGGCTGTAAGGCACCATCCGGGCAGGTTTTCTGCAGAGAGCCGATAGGGGTCCACTAAGTGCCCAGGATAGCGCGCGCCTCCAGCCCCTGCACCAGCTCGCCTGATCCCCAGCAGCTCGGAGAGTGTGGAGGGGCGGAGAGAGGTTACAAGGTAGAGGTTTCATTAGCTGATCAGTTCCGTTAAAGGGAGCCAAGAGCAGGCGTGTATTTATTCCAGATCTTTATTACTATAAAAAGTTCATAAAAAATGAACGCACATTTTACAAAAAGAGGAGAGAGATCCCATAAATAGGACATTCCGTTTTGCCCCGGCTAGTGGCACTTCTAGTATCTAACAACATCGGACTCGATTCCCTGGTATTTTGAAAACCATTTCAAAATCGGTCGTCACCAAGCGATACTAGAAATTCCAACTAGTGTTTTCCGGGCACTCAGCAGAGACCACTCGTACACACAAGCGCGCGCACACACACACACGACCCAGACCCCTAGAAAAACCTCCATAAAAATAGGGAACGCTTTGTTTTTACAAAAAAAGGGGTATTTACAAGATGCACAAGGACATGAAGCATGAACGGAGCTGGGCTGGCAAATCAACATGATTCGATCAGAGAAGGGGCAACAATGGCACTTGCATGAAACTCACACAGCAGCCTGCAGTCCCGAGGGAGCGGAGAACAGCTCCTACCACCCCCCGTGTAGGACACCCCCCTCCTCACCCCAGCACAGGCTCCGTTTCCTTTACACGTGGATGACCACCGTGCTGGGGCTCTGGAGCCGGTTTTTGTACTGGTTGAGCCAGCTCCGCAGTTCGGAGATCTTGTAGCCCTCTGGTCCTCTGCCTCCCTGGTACATCACCACCTCCTCCTGGATGATGTAGAGCCTTTCAAAGAAGGCACCATAGGCGGCGCTGGAAGCATTGTCCATGGTGTCCACTGCCAGGGGGCAGCCAGGCGCCCCTTCCTGCATCAGCTGAGCCGCCGTCAGCCTGTCCTGGAGGCACTGGTGCTTGGGGATCTGGTAGGCTGCGTCCGAGCTGACCCAGCCGTCGGAGGGGTGAGCCTCTTCGATGTAGACCAGCAGGAAGTCAGCGATGTCCACGAAGTGCGCAGCCAGGCGCTGGAAGGACCTCAGGCGAGCCATGAAGGGGGGTCAGGTGCAGCTCCCAAAGTTCAGGATCAGGGGTCTCTTGCCTCGGGCGTAGTCCAGGATCCTGAGCCGCTTCTGCCCGTCCAGCTGGATGACTTCGGGGTTGGGGGCGGAGGAGCCCACGTGGGCTGACTTGAAGAAGTCTAGCTTCTGCCCGTGCCACACGGCTTTCAGGGACTCCAGGGTGAACATGCGGTTGGAGTCGGACACGCAGACCGGGGGGTCGTCCGGGGGTGGCTCTTGGCCAGGACTGGCTTCCTCCTCCGCCCTGCTGCCCACCAGCAGCACCTTCTTCCGGATGCAGAGAAAATCCAGGAGCCAGAGCATCAGCGCGGTGAGCAGGAAGCGGGGGAACAGGAGGATGCAGGCAGCGACCTGGGTGAGCAGCTGCAAGGTGTGAACGCCGAGGGAGTGGAGCATCTTGACGGCGGCTGGGCTCCCGCCCCCTTCGACACACGCCTGCCTGCCGGGCTCTGTGCAGCTCAGCTGAGATCCCGCGTCTCTTTAAGCCCATTTTATAGTCAGGGATTTAAATGAAAAGTGACTCCACCTCCGGCCAGAACCCGCCCCTTTGGAACTTAAGCCCGGGGATTACCTACCCCTCCACTCCAATGACCTAAAATACACAGGGAGGAGGAGAGAGACCCGGCAGGAGCTGCAAGGGACGTGCCACGGAGCAGGGAGCAGCCACTCTCCGGCAGCAGCCGAGAGCCAGGGCACGGCCGGGGGCTCCGGCGCAGATAACAAACACACACACCCCCTTACAAACAACCCGGCCTGGACAATGCAACAGGCGAGCTCCGCGGCCCCGCCCCCTCCCCACTGCGCTCCAGGGGTGTGCGCGCCTGGGGGGCAGCGCACGTGGGGAGGCAGCGCACGGGCCAGCCATAGCCGCGCGCCCCCACGGCGCCTCCGCCCCGGGTGACGTGACCCCGCTCCCCGGGGGCAGAACCAGTAATTCCCTCCGATTGATCGCGACTATTGCTGCGAGTGTTCCCCTCCCCAGGCCCCTGACGCGCCACTTCCCTTAACTTCGGGAACAGAGGCTGGCGCAAGCCGCCGCGTGTCTGCAGGGCGACCTTCCCCCGGCGCAGCGGCCGGGCAATGGCCTGGGAGAGGCTGGGGGTCCGGGGATGGGACAGGGGTACCCTCCGCCTTGGCTACCGTGGAGGGCTGGGCCCTGGAAGGGGCGGTACCCAGGAGGTGCATTTGCTTAAGGGGCGCTTCGCTTTTGCTCTGCCTTTGATGAGCAAACTCCCGGTCCCCTGGCAGCCCGCGGTGCGCCCTGCGCCCAGGCTGGGGAGCGACTGCAAACGGCCTCGCTGGGCTGCAGCCGCGGGGGGTCTGCCCTGGAGGAGGGGACGGGGGCGCTTGCCAGGTTAATGACCACTCGCTGCCTCTAGTTACTAAACCTGTTGACAGCACGAAGTAAACGAGAGGGGAGAGAGAAAAGGGAAGCGACTCCTCGCCACTAGGGGTAGCTGTTGTCCGAAAGCTGAAACGTCCCCGAGCTGCTGCGGGTGGTGAAGGGAGAGATCCTTCTCGCCTCTTTGCAGAGCTGTGGCCCCCTCTCCAGTTGTAATCTTACATAACCCCTGCCGGCTCTTCCCTCTGCTGCAGAAAGCAGAAGCCTTGAGTTCACCTTGACCAAGTATCAGTTCACAGTGACAAGCAGGTGCCAGACTGGAGGTGAACTTGTGACCTGTTGGCTCTTCAGTCTATCCACTCTGATCCCTGGGGGGTAATTTCTTGTCATTGAACATTACTGTTCTTTCTTATTTCCAGCACAGAAATGCCTACAGGCTGCAATTGAGATCAGCGCCCTGCTATGCTAGGCAAGGTGCAAACATACACTAAGAGATGAGTCTTTGCCTCCAAAGAGCTTAGACCCAGATCCTCAAAGGTATTTAGGTTCCTAACTGCCATTGAAATGGGGCTGGGCCTTACAACCTAAGCAGAAAGGAAATGCTATTTATCCCCATTTTACAGACAGGGAATGGAGGCCTGTGGCAGAATAGGGAATAGAGCTCAGACTTCCTCAGTCTCAGTCTGGTGCCTTTATCTCATGACCATCTTGTCTCTTTCTTTCTGAGAAATTCTAAGCCTCCAAAAATCTAGACCTGTCCTGGTTATCTGGGTATATATCTGTCCCCCATCGCAGTAATATCTGAGCACTGCCTTTATTGGGACAGTTAGACCATTTCTTGTCTACTTGATCTTCTGGGCATCTTCTGGGTAACAAATATGTATTATCAAATTTAATCTGAAGTGGTAGGATGGGATTTGCTGCATGCAGTGGGGTCTGTAAAGTATGGAACCAGTTAAATCAACATTGACTAAGTCAGGTTGGAAGTTCACTTAAAAAGACCCCAAACAGACAGAGACAGCAAATAACATAATGCATAGAAAAAAACCCCTTTCCATGATCAAGAGGAGCATGAATATAAAGTCTCGTGACAACTGGTGATGGAGCAAAAGACTTTAAATAGATGGGTGGAGTATTGTCTACGGGATGGAGCACGGGATTCGTAGCCAGAAGCTCTGGATTCCATACCCAGCATTGCCACTGACTTGCTCTCACGTAGTCCTAAGTATTCAAAAGTGTTCACTAATTCTGAATGCCTCTGTTGTGTGATCAATTGAGATGTCGGGTGCCTGATTTTCAGCAGCGCTGAGGATCTGCAGCTTACATTGACTTCAATGAACACTTCTGAAAATTTGGCTGCATACCTCTCTGCCTTAGGTTCACTATCTGTAAAATGGAGGTAATAACACTTAACTAGAGAATAAGACTGAGAATATATGATTGCCCTTACATAAATCGACGCCCTCATCTCGAATACTGCGTACAGATGTGGTCTCCTCATCTCAAAAAAGATATACTGGCACTAGAAAAGGTTCAGAAAAGGGCAACTAAAATGATTAAGGGTTTGGAATGGGTCCCATATGAGGAGAGATTAAGGAGGCTAGGACTGTTCAGCTTGGAAAAGAGGAGACTAAGGGGGGATATGATAGAGGTATATAAAATCATGAGTGATGTGGAGAAAGTGGATAAGGAAAAGTTATTTACTTATTCCCATAATACAAGAACTAGGGGTCATCAAATGAAATTAATAGGCAGCAGGTTTAAACAAATAAAAGGAAGTTCTTCTTCACGCAGCGCACAGTCAACTTGTGGAACTCCTTACCTGAGGAGGTTGTGAAAGCTAAGGGTAGGTCTACACTTACCTCCGGGTCTGGCGGTAAGCAATCGATCTTCTGGGATCGATTTATCGTGTCTTGTCTAGACGCGATAAATCGATCCCGGATCGATCCCGGAAGTGCTCGCCGTCGACGCTGGTACTCCAGCTCGGTGAGAGGAGTACGCGGCATCGACGGGGGAGCCTGCCTGCCGCGTCTGGACCCACGGTAAATTCGAACTAAGGTACTTCGAATTCAGCTACGTTATTAACGTAGCTGAATTTGCGTACCTGAGTTCGAAGTGGGGGGTTAGTGTGGACCAGGCCTTAGACTATAACAGAGTTTAGAAGAGAACTGGATAAATTCATGGTGGCTAAGTCCATTAATGGCTATTAGCCAGGACGGGTAAGGAATGGTGTCCCTAGCCTCTGTCTGTCAGAGGGTGGAGATGGACGGCAGGAGAGAGATCACTTGATCATTGCCTGTTAGGTTCACTCCCTCTGGGGCACCTGGCATTGGCCACTGTCGATAGACAGGATACTGGGCTAGATGGACCTTTGGTCTGACCCGATACGGCCTTTCTTATGTTCTACCTCACAAGGGTCTAGAAGGCTTAATGTTCATGTAAATTGTCTTGAGAACCATGGAGAAAGGCCCTGTGAAAAGTATTATCCTCATTATTCTTCTTCTATTCCAGAATAGACTACAGTATTGCGAAATAATCTATCTGTGCCCTCAGTCCAGAGGCCAACTGTGGGTCATCCTTAATGTGTGACAACAGTGAGTGAAGTGATTCAGTGTTCTGTTATCCAAATGGAACTGCATTTTTATCTCCTTTTTACTAGGCACCTCATAAAGACATTTTAATGCACTAGGACTGTTCTTTGTCTTGAGCTTGGACTAATAACTTATAGTGCATGCCATGGTGCTCAGTACAGGGCAAATCACTGAACAGTTATTTACTGTATTGTTAAACTTATTGCTGAACTCCTCATATGGGCCTCTTGCCACCTCTCAGTGCAGTTACACAATCTTCAAAACCACAAATTAAAGCTTCTAAACGAACACAGTAACAAATTATGTTGGCTCTAAAGAAACCCCCAGCAAAAAAAGTTGGAACTCTCAAAGCACCCCCTTCCAACTAGGCTGACAGACAAAAACCTGAGTAAACAGATGGGTCTTGCAACCTTGAACATCAACAAACTTTGCTGTGTCAAACCAATGGGAGTGACCCTGAGGCATCAAAATATGGAGTTTTATATAGATTCGTTGGTGGAAAAAGATTGGAAATTCAGTCTTAGTTTATGCCTTTGGAAATCCCTCACTCTCCATTCCATGCAAACAACTTTGTTTTTTCTTTTCAGTTTGAGAGGTACTTTTGAACTGTGGCTTCCTATTCAGGTGTGGACAACTATGTTGGGCAGAGCACCTGGTGGAACAATTGCTGCAGTGGCCTGTGTTTGCACTCTTTTGCTATGGACTCCAAATACAATCTGGGGGCATAATTTCATACTGATGTGAGGTTATATAAGATGGTGTCTAAATTCAACCCTCACTTGCAGCTACATAGAGCTAGAAGGAGAGGGAAGAAGACCCCACCTCGCCTGACAGAGGACCTGAGAAGATTTGCATTCCTGGCATATTCAGACACCAAGGAGGACTTCCAGGGTAAATTGGCAACGGACCATTTTATAGATGCCCAGCTGGACTTGGATTTGCAGATCAAGATGAGCAAAAGGAGCCCAAAGACACACAGAAGCTATGGAATTTGCTACTGAACTTGAATCTTTCCTTGCAGAGGTGCACTGGAAGAGGAAGCAGCTGCTAGTGAGGAAAAGGGAAGCTGAGTGACGTGAGCCCTAGGCTATAAGTATAGCTCTGAGTCAGCTATGTATGAGGAAAAAGGTGTTTCTAATCTGGTTCATGACCTTATTGAACAGTTAGAAAAACTGATAAATGCGGTTTGTAAAACAAGGGAAATTGGCAATCATGCAAAACTAAGGGAAGCAGTTCAGTTAAATGCTAGTACTGTGGGGAAAATGAATAATAAAAGAGACTATTGTAAATATAAGGTGGGCCAGAATAGAGCAACACAAGTATCTAATGAAAGCCTCTTTCCTAGCTGGGAAATGGAGGGACACCATGCTGAAGGGGCAAATCTTGGCAAGGACCAGCGCCATTTAAAAAAAAAAATCTGGGCAGCTAAAGAACAATATTGGAAGTTTGGCTATTGAGTGCATATCAGGATTTGTGAAAAGTGTGGGCATAGTGGACACTGGCTCAAACATAAACTATTAAACCGGACATGCTAAAAAGCCTAGGGAATAGGGGATTCAAATTGAACCAACTAATTTGCCTCAAATA